TATGAGCTGCAGAGTATACCTCTATAAAATGTGTGTGTGTGTGTGTGTGTGTGTGTGTGTGTGTGTGTGTGTGTGTGTGTGTGTGTGTGTGTGTGTGAAACTGTATAGCCATAAATAATTAGGGGCCCGTTATTGGCTCAAGCCCAGGGGCCCGTATCCCCCCGAGTACGGCCCTGTTAGTGACGATAAAAGTTTAAAGTTGTCCCACTGTCTCTGAAAGTGAAGCACTGCTGAATGTACAAGTGGCTGTACACTTTCTCCTGGTTGTTGTTGTTTTACAGTATTATTTATGAATAATGTTGCCAATTTTTTACTTAAATTTTTGAAGACATCCTTCACCGCTCCCAGAGAACCACGGCTCACTTTGTGGGAGTGCTGCGTGAGTGACGGGGGCTGGGGGTGGGTGACAGCTGGGAACAAAAATACATAAACAGCAATAAGTCAGGTTTGGATTTGAGTCAGGATGTTTTAAATCCAATGAAAGCAAGAATGTTAACTAATAAATTGGACAATAATCTGGCTGTTTAGTGATATTTCCACACTTGTGGTTTTGACTGGTTTTTAAATAAAACTCCGAGTCCTCAATGTCCGAGACCGAGACAAGACCAAGACCATCAAAAACTGGTCTTGAGATTTCAAATACTACAACACTAATGGTAAGAATGAAATGATGACATTATTGAATCGTAAAACTGGAAGAGTTTGCAATCACGAGTGAATAAACAAACAAACAAACAACAAAATAAACACTAAAGGGAAGTTTTGAGGCTGGAGTGAGGTGAGGGGAGTTTGTTTTATTTGAGAAATTAACTAAGGGGTCCTAGTTAAATGAGAGAAAAATCGTTTCGATTATCAAATGAAATCAAATTAGTCTGAGCACCTGTGTGTCACCAGGACAAATGTTCACTTTTACCCTTTTGTTCTGCCGTGTGGGTACCAGGAGGGGTCAGCGACTGAAGGTCGTCTCCCAGGTGGGCTCTTCATACAGCTGGATGACAGGCCACAGGGGTTTGCCTGTACTGGTCCCAGTGGTCAGAGGAGGGGTAATTCTCTGGTGACGATGTGGTCTGAAACTCTTGTTAATTTGATTTCAACTTTGTGGAGAAAAACGGACTAAAAACGACGCATGAGTTACAGCTTTTTAAATTTGTATAAAAATCAAAGCTCATGTGTTGAGCTGACGTGAAACAGCAGCTGTGAGTCCAAACCAGCAGGAGATGCAGAAGGACCACAGTCCTGTCCGGTCCCTGGGAGAAGGCCTGACAGGCAGGGTCTCTGCTGAGCTGCTGAAATCTTCCAACTCACTCTTCTTCTCTCTAATTAGGGAGTGCGCTGACTTTTTAAAACATTTGTTTGGGACGAAGTTAAGTTGTTAGTTGGTCAATAAAAATGTTTCACTTTATACAGGAAAAGGTTTCAGTGAGTCAAATCTGATGGAGGTAAAACAAAAACAAGGGTGTGTTCTAGTTTATCTGGCCTTTACCTAAAAAAGGAAAAAGCGGAGATATCTGGGTTTTGCCTCAGGAATAAAATTATCACAGTTAATTATTAAAATTCGAGTCCTAAGTTTCTAAGGATAAAATCATGGAATAAAACACATCTTCTTCAGGAAAACATTTCATCAAACAATTAACACCACACAGTTATTCTACTGAGTCCTCAGTGTGTAAATACTTAGTTAAAACAAGAACATAGAGCTTCAATGGGTTTTGTTTTTTCTGTAAAGAGAAACAGGTAAATCACATTTCTTTGGTTCAGATATATGAAAACAGACAGTTGGATAAAAACATTCAATCTTTTCTTGTCCTTTTTTATTTAATCATGAATGGTAGATTCTGGTTCCTTTGTTCTCAGTCGAGCTGAAGAGTCGGGTTAAAGGAATTTATGATCCCTTTGAGGAGGAACCAACAGGCAGTCCTGATGGGGGATGGAAGCAACAGGAACTCATCAGAATGTAAATTCTTTCAGTTTGACTGCTGGGCGTCAGGAAGTCTGGTGGGTGAAGGTG